GGTTTGTGCTTTGGGTTTTGGCGAGGTTGTTTTGTTTTGCTTGTGATATGGGTTTCGGCATGGTTGATTTGGGGTGTGCTTTCAGAATGGGTTGAAAACCCTAGGGGGAGTATAGCATTTGAGATGCGGGGTTAGCGACTGCTTGCTACTAAACCCTAAACCCTAAACAGTCTCGTGAGCCCGTGGCAATCGCAACCAATGCGCCGAATTTCAGCTGTAGCTTGTGCAGCGACCTTGACAGGTACTTTCCAGGTCCGTGGTTGTCACGGTCCAGGCCCATGCGCCGCATTTCAGCTGCAGCTTGTGAGTTAGCTTGTCAGCGGTCGAGTCTCGACCTTGTGCTGCAGGTGTTGTCGGAACGAGTCCTGGTCGTTTGGGACGTGATTTCCGACATTCTGGTCGCTTTGGCCTTATGGGCCCACCACCCTTGGTGGGCCTCCATCGCTGCAGGCATCATTCCACGAGAGATAGATGAGAAAGATGTGGGATAGAGATCGGAGAGAGACGAGACGAAGACGAGAGGATGAACCCAGGTTTGGCTGCGTGACCCATACCGAGAATAGGGCCAGCCGAATTTCGCAGATGCCCTACATGCCTGCCCGCTCAAGGGGGGGAGCAGGCATCATCTGCCTGCCGTACTTGCTGCTCAGCTATCTACTGGGCATCAGCCTTCTCTTGCCCTCTTGGCTCACGTTGCCTGCTTCCTTCGCATCTTGGCAGCCTAGTCCTAAAGGCCCAATGATTTCGTGATTGCATCTGAGTGACGCTGTTTTTGTATGCCTGCTTCCGCAAGAGACTTCCGGCCTCGCTGTTGCGTCGATTGCGGTTGCGGCTCTGCCGCGGAACTCGCCTTGGAGCCGGCGTCGACAAGGCCTGCAGGGCGATCGCGCGCGTGCTTTCTTCCCATTATCGTGGGATCTGCGGCCAGGCTCTTTCATTACTGGACCTTGCCGCAGCTGGTGGAAGCCGTAGCCTCGGCAGCGGGGGCGGCGCTGCGACAGGAGGGGCGTCGGACACGGCCAAGGTGTTCTGTAAGGCCAACTCCAAACGTTGCTGCAGGGCTACATCTTCTTCCGCCAGGCACCGGGCCTCTGATTTAGGGGTGGGATGTTTTGGGTGCGTTGCCGGGCTATACAGCTCCATGTCGACGCTTTTTCCAGGAACGCGACTTCAACATTTTTCCACCTCTGGATAACACCTCTGTGAGCATTTTCTTGCCCGCACGCCATATTTTTTTGACAATTATTAAGTTTATAGTGTGTTCTTGGAAGCTTTGTTGTTGTCGACACATGTCCTCATGCTTAAGCAGCGGCAAGATAAAATGGGCGTGACCTCTTGACCATCCTCAAGATCCACTGCCCATGCTACCCAGACTTCTCGGATGATGCGATCCGCAAAGGTGATAATTTCCTCCGTTGAAATGGCTCCGCTGATCGATACATGCCTTTTCGTCCAAGAGGAAATCCAGTACCTTTATGTTGCCAGTGCCAGCTGCAAGATGAAGCGGGGGCACCATGTGCAACTGTTTGCTCGGATCCCCTTCCCAAGCACGCTCCTCCAACAGGTAATCATTCTTCACGTTCGCTTTCCAGTCCACAAGCAACGTCGCAGTTTTGAAGTCCGGCCCAGTCCAGAGATGCTCAGGCCCAGTCAACGTGTGCCTGGATGAGCTTGGTCGAACAGTGGAATCGGTCAAGGTGCACTTATGCCGCAAATGATATCTGTGTGTTTGCCAAGCCTCTGTGGCTGGGCCTTGGATAGCTGCACAAAGGGGCGCGCATTGTAGGCATTCCGTTTTGTACTCGACCTTCACCACGTCGTTAGTTGAGGGTAACTTCAGCCCAAACTTCAGAAGTTCCTCCACACGCTCGGCTGACCCATCCATCATGGCAGAGTTTAGCTCGAGCTCGTCAACGCAGCCCTCCGCAGCTGCTGCTCGCGGAGACAGTTCGGACAGAGCTTCTACAGGCAACGCCACCTTGCCATCCCCAGGAAATGCAGACACTGCACCAGGCAACACAGCTGTACATGAATTCAGCAGGGGTGTCTTGGTGGCAGATCCTCTAAGTTGCTGCGGGTGAGCTAGTGCTGTTGAGACTGGATACCCATCTTCCCTGCATGATTTGATGACATTCCAGGCTCGTCTTCCACTTTGCATGCAGCTACAACACGGCCTTCTGACCCTGGTCACTCAGAGGACCAGGTGCCAATCAGGATGGTGCTATGACCTGCGATGACGGATCTTGTGGGCTTGCATGCAGACGCATCCATCACACAGTTCAGGTGCCGCAGTAGAATGCAGCAGGGCGTGCATGCTAGAGTCACAAGCTCGAGCCCGCACATGCCATGCTGCTTTACTGCGCTTTGAGCAATGCCCACCAAGAGTCCGACCAACTACTCGAGGAAGCGTCCCCTTGTGGAGGCTCTTGACCTAAGAGATGCAAAGCATCAATGAAAGACTCACATCTCGCTCATTGTGAAACTCAGTCCGGAACAAAACTCCGCATTGCTTACACTCACCGGCCAGCGGAACCTACCGCCTTGAGAAGATCTGCGGGGTGAGGGCAAATCAAGAGTTTCTGCATCAAGCAGCCAGCTTCAGTGAAGCCGATCCTGGGCGCTACCACAAGAGCGAAGGCAGAAAACAGGCGGCAATAGCAGAGGTTGCCCAAAAATATCCACTTCAGGGTGCTCAGCTTCTTAGCAGACGGGGTGTGGCCCAACAAGACGGGCTAAGAAACTAAAGAACTAAAAGGGGCTTAGTTTCTTGACTCAGGACCGGAAGATGGAAAACAACAAATGACACGGGCCAATGAGCAAGACCGAACAGATAAGGTGCGATTTTCTGACTTGCAAGGTCTGTGTTTGCATGCCGCCGTGGGCCCGTGTTGCGCTGCCCGGGCTATGAAAAAAAGAAAGGCTTAGTTTGTGGGCAACCCGAGTGGCGAAGCGCCGGCAAAAAAATTAAGGGGCGCGAGCTTCTAAGCGGGGTGTAAATTTCAAGAACGTGGTGCAACCCCAGAATTTTGCCCAATTTGTTTCTTTATTGAATAAGTTGAAGGAAGCCTAAAGGATCTGGTTCAGAAACTTGGGACGGCATCGTTTAGTAGTGCATGAGGGTCAAACAAACTTGCAGGCTTTCACTGCCACCGCAAATATGACAAACACCTAGCAGTCTAAAACCACGCGGGAGACTGATGCAGAAAGATGTTGGGTAATGGGACGGCTTGCTCTTGGACTGCTTCGCACTTCTGCGGCGTGTAAGGGCTTGCCGCTGCAGCCGTGACCGTAGTCCTTCTCCTAGCCTTATATAGTCCCAGCGTGGGCACACAAGTCAAGTTTTCCTCGGTGCCTTTGATGTCTTGTTTTACAGGCACCAGACATGGGCAGAAGTGCATGGCTCCAGATGTAAGTCAGCATTCAGTTTGGGGTTTGAGTTTGGAGTTCACCGACGAAAAAGCTCACTTGCTCGCGTGCCGCAGATCTTCTCAAAGGGGCTAGTTTAGGCTGGCCCGAGGTTGCAGCCATGCAGATTTTCGTGCCGGACTGAGCTTCACCAACCTTCTCTACTCTCTCCTTGAATAGCTCGAAGTCTTGTTCCTCGGGATGTCTTGGCACCTTTGAGGTGAAAACGCTGACGGGCAAGACCATCACCTTGGATGTTGAGGCCAGTGTTCCACGCTTCAATTTGCAGGTGTTCTTGCACTCAGCAGCCATTGAGGCATCTGACACGATCGACAACGTGAAGGCCAATGGTCTTGCTATGGTTGTTTTCAGTTTTGCAGCAAGTAATTCATCAAATTTTGTGAGGCCAAGATCCAGGACAAGGCTCAACCTTGCGTCTTGAGCTCTTGCTTGTACAGCAGCAAGGCCAATTGTTCTGCCAATGACCGTGCTGTCAAAAGCTGTGGATGCCGCTGTATTTCAATCGGGCCAGGAAGGGATCCCGCCCGATCAGCAGCGTTTGATCTTCGCAGGCAAGCAGTTGGAGGCGAGGTTCCTCATGGCATCTGGGAGTCGCTTAACTTTGATTTGCACAGGATGGCCGCACGCTGAGTGATTACAACATTCAGAAGGTGCCTCTTGCAATTTTGGACCTAGATCCAGCGAAGCACTACTCTGCACAGTGTGATGTGATGTGATGCGAGTGAGTATCTGTCAAAAACAGCACATACAGGATCCTCAGGGGCGACTCTGTACTCTCTCCGTAGTCTTCACATCCCTCGGTTTGTGACGGACATGCCTTTTGAGAAATCTCGACGTGTTGACTCCAGGAGTCCACCCTGCACTTGGTGCTCCGCCTCCGCGGTGGCGCCTGGAGCCCAGCTGCTCTGCAAAAAACCATGTTTTGCAATCCCGACTGCAAGGGGCTATCGGCTTCGTTTCCTGAAACGCCCAGATGAGTACCAGAGTCCCTTGGCAGTGTCTCCACCAGGTCATCGAGCCCTCCCTGGCTGTCTTGGCCCGCAAGTTCAACTGCGAGAAGATGGTGCCTACAGCCTACAGATTACCAGATCACAGTTCTAGTTAAAACCAGAGAGTTCTTGCTTGCCCACTATGAGTTTAGTCCTCCTTCTCATGATGATCAGCTTATTCGCAATTATATAGCATCAGTAGAACGACTGCAAGACAAGCAGTATTCAAGTGCCTTACTCTGAATCCGCAGATCTGCCGCAAGTGCTATGCGCGCCTGCATGCCAGGCCCGGTTGTTTGCCAGGGAGTTTATGGGCTGTTGTAGACTTCTGCTAACGCATTGCATGTCGACTGTGTCATTCTTAGGGTATCCATTGGACAAGTGGTCTTTTGCAAGGGCCGTGAACTGCCGCAAGAAGAAGCCCCCGCCTCAGTGGGTCTTGACACTAATTTGCTATCGTGCTTCTTGGCAAGTACTCGTACCATTCCTTGTGCATGTAGCTTGACAGAATCTTGTGCGAACAGGGCTGCTTGCACTAGAGGGTCATTGCAGGAGAAGCATTCGGCTTGAGAATTCTCAAGGTAAGGCCTCATCAAATAAGGTCCCTCACATTCCAACGTTTCTTTTTCTCAGGATTTTTTCAGGGTCACTTCCTGGGTTTCTCGCAGCATGCATTTGTGATCCTTCTGTTTTAAGCGCAGATGCAGGGGACTCAGGTTTCAGAATTACCTTTACTAGCCCACATATTCCTTCCCAGCAGACCCAGGAGAATCCCAAAAGATCGAGAAAATTGCCGTAGGGCCGGCGTGCAATCCCGAAAATAAAAACTACAGAGTGACGTAATCTTCAGGTGCGGGCACTCCAACCAGCTCCGTCCCAAGAAGAAGCTGCCCGAAGCCAAGTTGATAATCGTCATAGCCGGGTTTCTGCTAAGGAATTGTTTCAATTTTCTACAAGAAGAAACCCCTTTTATTTACCATATACCGTATACCCAGATTGAGATAACTTAGTTTAACTGCCTTAGCAGCAACCCAGCATGGCTGTTGCGACTATCTTCATGCTGTGCCTGTGAGCGGCATCATGATGAATACTAGTATTCACACTATTTAGATTGCACAGCTTACGCTTCTAGTCTCTGCCGCTGAGCTCTCTTGTACTTTGAGGAAGTGATCGGCAGGGCTCTGCGCAAGAGGCCATCGATAGCCGTTGAGAGGACGCGGAAAAAGTGCAGCGTGCCTGGCTGGAGCTTTCTGTTCTTTATCTGGCTATGCTGCTCCTGACCAAAAACCTAAAAAGATCCCGCGCAATTCTACAGTCCTCCGTAATTCTCAGGTCATAGCCATGGGCCCCCAAAATGGCCCATACCTTTACCTTAGAATAATCCCTGCGTTGATTCAACTTCCTCTTGTATGAAAAATGCGGCTGCCGGCTCAGACCTGATCCCCGGCCACTCAGCAGCCGAGGTGGCCCACCGCTTTGGGGTCATGTTACAGTAGATTAAATTGACGTTCTAGTATCTCCTGGGAAAAGAATTTATTAGTATGACCGTACATTATACTTCATTAAGGTCGATCTTCTAATATATTATGGTACAGAGTAGAGTAGAGTGTAGTGTAGTATGGTGTAGTACACTACATTCTGCAGAATCCCTGATGCAGGGACTTCTATGATCCTTTTCTGGGGCTGCGTTTCTTCAATGCTTTTCTGGACTCATTAAAATCTAGACGCACAACAATTACTTGTCCAGGAAATAAGCTCAGAAACGCAAACTTGCTTTTTCTGTGCTCCCTCGTCCTTCTGTCACGGAATACCCCACTGCGTAGTGTAGAAAAGATACTTAGTTGTTAGAGGAGTCTTTTTGTGCCTGTGAAGCTCTTACATGTGACGGTTCGGCTAAAGTCTGCTTGTTCGGATAGCTTTGTTCTAAGCCATGTGAAGGCTTGGAACACCTGCAGTGCAAATGTGCAGAACTTAGTTGTCGTGAGGACTGCTATGGGCTGCGCATCCTCTGGTGCGGCCAGCGACAAGTGCCCTTTGTATGGAGGATGGGGGTCGCAGTTGTGGCAGGTGTGACTTGGGACCTGTATCGAGGTATGCCAAATCTTCACTCGATGCGGCTTGCGCCTCCGCTCCACCAACCTCGCCTGCCGCGTCAGCGCCCACTTTGCCCTCGCGACCGAAGGCCACGGCATGCTGGAGCTTTCTTTCCTGCGCCCAACTGCAGCTGGAGTCAGGCGGAGCCATCTCCACGAAGCAACGAGGGTGCCACTGCTGTTTTTAGCTCACAGAGGATGATTAATTTTCGCGTCTGCGCCGCTTTGTCAGGAGGTGCACGGCCAGACAACTCGCGCGTGGTGCAGGCTTGGGACTTGCCTGTTTCTTTCCCCAAATCTTTGCTACATCCCTCAACCCAATTGATATCATTTCTATCGTTGGCGTGTCAAAGATCCTCAGCTGAGGATAGTCCAGACGGGCGTTCGCATGCGGCTGCTCCGGTGCCTGGGAGGGGAGAGGAAAACCTGACACCTCAAGCCGATCAGAAGCATGATTGAATCGTAACAATCAGTGCGAGGATCATAGTAGTTGTGCAGTAGTAATGGTGGACATGGCGTGCCCTACAGGCGGTGGCGATTGCTAGCACAAATAGAATGGTAGGGAAGAGGTGTATTTGGATGTATGGATTTGCACCTCATGTCGTAGATCCTTAGAAGTACTACGAAAAAGTGATGTGCACAGTGCACAATTCCATCATCTTAGTTCGTAGTAGTAGCAGCAGAAGTAGAAGTTCAAGTAGAAGGAGAAGAAGTTATAGCAGCGGCGGCTCCTGTGGTACTGCTGCTGACACTTCACTTCTGCCAGATGGTCGGCCTCCTGCAAGACGTGGATGGAGACGAAGCCCACGAGTTCTTTGTAGAAGACCCAAAGATGCTTGGCTCAACCTAGGAGAAGCTCTACATTTGCAGTGTTAGTTGTGCTACTATGTTGTTGATGATGGTACATGACGTAGTGCCATCGTGATGCTTCTTATCTCTACTGTTTTCAGAACTTATGCGGCGTAGTGCATGTGAAGCCTGCGAGCTCTCGCTTTCTTTCTGGCACAGCTCGACATATGATTGGCGTTCATGATTATCCGTGTCATGCTTCTTTGCACAGCCACAATGGTTGTTTTGTGCTGTTTCTGCTGGGGCTTAGGACCGGTCGAATGCTACGAGTGGTGACAAAGGCGCAGCTATGCAGCTATGCAATCTTACGGGGTATGGAAATTCTGACCTGCCAGGAACTGGCCGAAGCGCGCTGAGGCTGAGCTGAGATAGCAAGGAGCCCAGTGCACGGTCGGAAGCTGTTTCACGTCCACAATGAAAGAGTTGTGTGATGTCTCACTACGCGCTCGAGCAAAGCATAGCGCTGCCAGCGTCAGAAGGCAGTGGTACCTGGTAAGCAGAACAAAAAAGCCTGTGATGGTTGCATTGGATCTTCAGCATTTTTGCAAGGGCACTCAGAGATGTTCGTGGTGGAGCAGACGGATTTTACGATGCCGATGCATGTAGCTAGGTGTGAGCTCGTGTGGCTTCTGTCCGCACCTAGCCTCCCTCTAAAATCAAGTCCTCTTGTTTGCCATCTCCTAGTGGCAGTTTGCTTTGAGGAAGCTTCTTTCTTCTAGCTGTGGAGTTCTTCTCACTCACGTCCGCCCCTCTGATTTGGGATACGTTTGCTAAAGCCCGCTCGCTTTTGTTTCGTACGGGCAGGTAGTTGAATCTGCAATTTTGTGGCAGAGGCTTGTTCTTGTGACGTCTAACTTAAAGCCCTAAACCCTAAACCCTAACCCCCAGCACGTGAATGGAACACCTTTAATGGATTTCAGCAGAGCAGAGACAGGAGGCCCACCCCTAGTTTCTGCCATTTTCAGAAAAACAGGTTTCAGCCCTTTTTGGAGTTTAGGGTTTTGGGGTTTAGGGTGTTTAGTGTTTTCAGGGTTTAGAGTTTTCAGGGTTTTGGGTTTAGTAGTGTTCTAGGATTTGGGCTTTGTGGGATTTAAGGTGCTGAGGTTTGTTAGGGTTTATGTTTTTTCGGGTTCGGTCTTTTGAGGGTTATTACGGTGTGAGGTTTTTAGGGTTTGGGCGTTTTAGGCTTGTTAGGGTTTCGGCTTTTAGGGTTAGGGTTTTTGGGGTTTCTACGGTTTTGGGTTTTTGGGGTCTGTGGTGTCCAGGGTTTTTCCGGTTTAGGATGTTGAGGGCTGTTTAGGGTGTAGGGTTTTTGGGCTTAATGGGTTATAGGGTTTAGGATGCTTGGGGTTTTAGGGGTTTCAGAGTTTACGATTTTAGGGGTTTAGGATTTTTAGGGTGTATTAACTTTTGTTTGTTTATCATCTGGGATTTTCGGGTGTGGGGTTACTCCACCCCTACTCTTGCAAACCTCTGAAAAATGTGGCTGTTGTTGAGGATTCATTATTGGACATGGTACGTGCTCATGTTTAAAAAGTGCGGCGGGGGGGGGGGTTAACCATTGAGGAATGCGGCAGTCCAAAATCTCACTTTCCCGACCTGCACCTCCCCGCCCCCCAGGTCAGGATTCGGGAAGCCTCATCATTTCCCGATGTCCCGACAGTCCCACGCCAGCCAGTGTTTCGTGACTTGGGTGTATGCTTAAGAAATGGCGCCGCAGAAGCATAGGGGTTTGCCCGAGCAGGGAGTCTACCGAATACTCAGAGGGATTTCAAGTATCATAGGCATGTTGGACATTTTTGGAGGCAAGGCCATGAACCTCCGACTGATTACCGGAGAAAGTGCCCGGTTAGTCGCGCTGAAGCGAAGCAACTGGTCCAGCTTCTGAGTTCTAAGTGCTTTGCGTTTTGCAATGGGCTCCCTCTCCAAGATGGCCTGGTGCTAGTCCCGACTATGGAAGGCACAGACCGCGTCGAAGGCAACAAACTTGCGAATCTTGTAGTGTCCGAATTCATGTAAAACTGCGTTGTAACATGTTGACTCTTGCAGGCTTCCTCTACGCAAGCAGGTGGTTCACCGGAAACGCCGCTGCGCGACAGCCGCTCCGAAAAAACTGCTCAAAATCAGCTCTTGCCCACAATTCCAGAATACCCACGCAAGCCAATGTTTCGGCCATTTGGGATCGTCGCACAACGCTCAAAAACGGTGAAAACAACAAATTTTGGCAGGAAATCACGAGCCACTGCGACCGCCAGCATTGCGCACAAAAATAGACATTTTTTTGCCGCTATGTTGCTGCGTCTGCAATGCAGAAATACTGCGCCTGCCACGTAAAACATGCTTGCATAGTTAGCGGCGCGCGTTTTCAGTGCAATGGGACGTTGCTGATGCCGCTTCGTGCAGTGCGTGATCATTTTTTTTGGGGTTCGGGTGCTTAGGGTTTATTATCGCAAAGTCCAGATGGAAAAAAACATGTTTGCATGTAGTCCCGTAGTCGTATGGTTGGGCACGAAGCTCGCTCATGTTTGCGAGTCCCATCAGTATATCAGATGGAGCCCATGATCGGTGCTGAGCATAGCTGCAGGCGAATCTCAGAGCGGTTCATGGTCCCCCAAAAAATCAGCCCAAATGATACAGCTGCCGAAAGCTACGCAGTGGTCTTGTTGCCACCAATGCGCATATCCAGAACTTGATGGTTACGGCTCAAGGCTGAATGTCAGCTCAGAGGGAAGCATTTTGTAATGGCATATCCCACGGCAGCGGCTGAGGCTTCGATTCTGCCTTAGATACCTAAAAACATGCACCTTGCACTGGAGGCTGCTGCGGCTGCTCCCGCTGCCACTGCCAAGAGGAAGGTCGCTATTTATGGAGGAGCACCTTGTTGGCAACGCGGCTTGAAACCTCATCATGAGTCTTGCGGTTCTCAGCCAAGGCGTTCGATCCTCCAACGAACTCTCACCTGACCTGCGCAGCAGAGATTGTGCCAGCAAGATTTAAACACGCATGCCTGGCTGTTGCATCGTTTCGGCTCTTTTGTTTTCTGTTGGTTCGTGTGTTTCAGGTACATAGCCGCTGTGCGGATGAGGTTTGGCTTGTACCTTGCGGGCCACGCCCAGACAAGCCGCCGCTTGGCCCAGAATCTCCTAGCAGGGACTGAGAGAACGGGCTGTGGGAATCTTTGGCTCTTAGGGGGATCCGGTTATTCCTCATCCCCTGCTAGTAAGAATTTTGGCTAGAGAAGGTCCACTTGGGAGTCGCTTGGGCCAAGGAAGCTGAAAACACCCGCCATAGACAGATACTGCATCATGGCCGCATTATGCCGCATTGAAGGTCATCCTGGAAGTGTGCGGAAAGTTGTGAGGCATGTGCCAGATTGCCGTGAACACTGTGTTCAGTCCGGAATTTCCTGTAAAGGCGCGCGTAGTTGGAACTACAGATGCTTGCCGAGTAGTACATGCGTTCTGGAGGTTAGCGACATCGACGTCGGCAAACAGATGGCTGCCTACACCTACGACCTGCTCGTGGAACTTAGGGACAGTACCCATCGCTTTGTTCTGCTCGGTCTAGTGTAGCGGATTTCTCAAGGTTGCTGTTCCCCCAAGAGAAAGGCAGTCCTTGGCGTAAGGATGCTCCAAAGTTTGGACAAGCTTCCAAACCCTACAGTATGCTACCTGTCCGGTCGGCAGGAACAAAATCCAGGCACAGACTTCGCGTAGCTCGGTTGCACAAGCTCCAAACCCTTGACACCCTAAGGGCAAAACCTGCCCTCTGCCAACTCTAAACCCCCTTTAGACCCTACATAGACCCTACACTACGCAACCTCCAAACGACTCTAAAGAGGCCCTGGGGCCGCAACCCCCACATCCCAAACCCAAAACCCCATACCCCAACTGCATGAGAGGTTTGTCATTGGCTCGGATTGGCTCCAGGCTGGAACAAACATCGCTGCAGGGTCCCCAGACTTCAGGCAGATCCTTTCTCGGGTTCAGGGGTCAGGGGTTTTTTGGGTTAGTTAATATGCGATTTCTTCTGGTTCCAGATTGGATTTTGGATACAGGATCTTGGAGTAAGGGGGTAGAGCTCAGCGGATGTAAGGCAATCATCAGAATCGTGCAATACCGCACTAGCAAACAAAGACATATATTTTTCAAAGACAAGAGCCACAATTTCTCATAAGAGCACTCAGACTCATATTCCTGGCTCAAGTCTGAGCGTGCGTATTGTGCACACGGGAGGCTCATGTTTGACCAGTAACCCCCCACCCCCGCACCAAAAAGCCGTGAACCCCCATTATTCTAAACCTGAGCCCCCAAGACCAGCATCCTAAAGCCGCAAGAACAAGACCGTAAGCCACACTCAGGAATGGACCTCCTTGAATCACGCGTGGAAGGAGGGTATGCCTGAGGCTCTGTCGGATGCAGCAACAATCCGCCTCAAGCTTTGGGGGAGATGATCGGAAGCACAAAACGATTGCCACACTTGACATAGCCAACTCTAAGCCAAGGCCAAGTCGACAGTGGTAGCTCGTTCTAGCTGCCTGCCAACCAATTTGCTACTTCTGCTGGGTGTTTCTGAGTCTGCACCCTTACTACATAACCCCCAGCAGAGACTCCTTTGTAATCCTCTTGATATTCCAGCAATCCCTAGGTGTCCTGAGCAACCCCATAGCATCCCATGGGCCCGGCCAGGCAGAGAAGGAAATCGTCACGGGTGACAAGCTGCTGAACGAGCCATCTTCCCAGAAATTCGGGCAAACCTATAGCCGCTATAACCTCTACCTAAGATATGGCGATTCTCCATTTAAGCGCCGCGAGGATCTCTAGCTTTCTGCGAAACTTCTGAACTCCAGCACTATGGTGGATGAGAATCTCCGAGGGTGTTGATGCCAAGGTTTGAGTTCCTTGTGGTCCCGCGTCCTGGCTACGACGTCAAAAGAACAGATGCCCGGCTCCTGGAGTTTCCCAAGATACTTTCTTTGGAGGTCGATTTAGTTTCTAGTGCTTGTAGGGGTCGTCGTGGCAAGCATCTTCATGCTTGAGGCAGTTTTTGGAGCTCCCTCATTGCTGCAACTTGCTTCCCGTTCTGCTTTGCGTGGCTTCGTGCGAGATTATGGTGTTTCCAAGTTGGGACATTTTGAAGGTTGTATTTGCTTCCACAGGGATACAGCCCGCATAGTAGGGATCCACAAATCGACTCACCAGTCGTCAAGACTCCCCGCGCCTGCTTGAAACTTGGGTCATGATTGGGGTGACCGCTGAGACACTCTTCAAACCATCCTGCAGACTTCTCCAGGGAGTTGTGCTCATCTAAAGCCTGAACTCTCAGCCTCAACCCTAAGACCAGAGCCTTGAACCCTAAGCCCTAAGCCCATGAACCTGGCCACAATTTCAAGCCCCGAACCCTTTAGGGTTCAATTACCTGATGCGAGGCGGACCCCAGTGGGTTGAAGGCCTTTGGGCCTCGTCTCCGGTGGATGGAGATGCCAGTGCCGCACCCGGAAGTTCGGGCTTAGGGTAAAGTTTAGGGTTTAACCTGCCTTTTCTGGGCCGGGATTGGGGTTTAGGGGTTTTGGGTGTAGGTGTTAGAGTTCAGGGTCATCACGCTGAGGTTTTCCAATTTGGTGGGTCTTTGATTTTTTTGGTGTATAATTGGTCGGAAGGTTCAAGTAAATCCAGTGGTTGCAAGATGAATCGTGAGCTGTGGCTTCACGCAGGATTCTACATCGCCCCACGCGCGTGGATCTCCAATACGTAAACTGTCAAGAAGACTCGTACTTGTGAAATGTGCTTCCATGGCGGCTGAGGAACAATTCCAGTTCATCGAGGGCAACCTTTCTTCGACGGAGTCTCACCTGCAATATCAAGATGCAGATTCCCTTGCATGCGAGAAATGGCTAAAATGATCCTAACAAGATCGACGAAAGGAATGTGCTATTGTGAGACAGCCTCATGCCTACATGTTCGGAAGAAGCCAAAATTCTCTGCTGGGATCCAAGGAGATCAGGAAAAGGACGCATTTCGCATGGCGTGTGCAGGAGGCATTGGATTTTCCTGGTACCAGTCACCAGATGTGAACGAAGCCGCCCTATGAATGGTGAGTGCTGATGGTGATGGTCTAGCCATGCAGCCAGCATGACGAGGATCACCGCCAAGAGCTTCTTGTCTTTGATACATGATTCACGCTGCTAGAAGAGCATTGTGAGTACGATACCGTGAGAGTTTGCAACTCATTCCGGAAAACAGTCTGCGAGCAATCTGCGCCCTCTTGCTATCCCGACTGCCATGTGGTTGCAACACGTCTTCCCTAGAAAAAAGTAACCCTGAAACCCCAGGCCCTGAAGTGTCTTTTCGGGCAGGCAACCAAGATTGGCCTGCGCGCCATTGAGGGGCTGGTCCCTCCCGGTGTCCTGTTTCCTGGTTGCATTTTTTTTTCGGTGATTGTTTTAGGGTTCAAAGTTTGGGTATGACGGAGGGAGTGTATACGGAGTATCGATGGGGTCATGGTGAGATTGAGATATGGATTATGGAGAGAGTCTAGGAGGGATTTGCTCAAAAAATTGCGGGTTGCTGTTCAGGTCCTTTGTGCAGGAATGACAGTGGGCCTTCGTTTGGGGGCTACCCATTCAGGTTTCTACAAAGATGCATCAAATATGATGGGTAGAGGCTCGGCATGACGTAGAAGTATAAGCTCAGATCTTCTACCAATAAGTGCATTAGAAAAGGTTTGGACCTGGTAGGAGATACAGCAAACTTCATTCTAAGTTTCAAAGTTCGTACGTTGTAGTTGGCCATTTGCTGGCATTGAATTTGCGATCCCTACCACAAAGCCTGCCTCATGCGGACTGCAAAATATTGAAGACAATTTCCTCATAAGACCCGTGATCCTCCTCGCCTAGTCTTTAAACATGGAACTTGCTTTCAGAGCCCAGGTCCTACATCCGCCGTCGAAGCTTGTACATCCCCGAGTCATGAATCGATTTTCTGCCCTTTTAATACGGACGCGCGAAGACAAAGAAGCGCGTTAACGAGTTGCTGCGGTTGACTTCACGTGATCCTCACTGTGAGGATGTGGTTGACTTGTGTTAACTTTAAAAAATTGTATGTCATGACCAGTTCTCTGCTTTCTAGGGAGCGCGTGAGCATAAAGGCATCGTGGACATACCTGCTTGTTGGGCATTCTTGCTCGCAGCGCACGGGCTTAGCGTTCCACGTGCTGTCTTCAAGGATGAGGCCCGCATCAAGAAATCCATTGCAGTGGCCATGTCCCAACATGCGAATGATTCTTGTAATGAACGCAACGAATCTAGTATTCTGTCTCGCCAGGCCTCTTGTTGCTTCGGATGAGTCTGAAAGAGATGAGGTGCGATGCCGACAGGTCAAAGCCAACACAAGTCCTGCTGTTGACTACATGCTGCGCTGCAATTTGACCGTGTGTAGGTGAAGCAAAGCATCTGTTTTGTATCATCTTGTTCTTAAAAGAGTCTTGCTTTTTGAGGAGGCACCGGCTGTTCCCCTTGCCAAACGGAACGGGCTGTCCCTTGGTGGAGTAAGGCTTGGCTCGGAACGCTTCAAACATTGTGGGTGAAGGGTTTAAGGTTTAGGGTTTGGGGGGTTTTCTGAAACACATCCCGGGAAAGTCTTTGCAGGACTCCTGAGAGAGAGACGCATGTCGACGGAGCAGCTTTGTTGACGCTCTTGTTGTTGTCGTAACATGTTCTGACTGGTGTCATCATCATTGTGAGTGGGATCGCTCTTGCCCACTGATATGATATCAAACGCGGCTTCTTTTCATCATTACTGTCATTTCGATCTCCTATCATGATGATTGCTGTCCCCAATGCTCTTCTTGTGATTGCCCATGAATCCCATCATTCTGAGGCCATGTGCGGTGTTTTCGCTCGCCTTGGGGCTCGGCGGACTCGTTATCTTGGTGGCTGTGGCCGGACTTGTCAGCCACGGTCATGGCCACCTGGAGCAGTCTGGGACGGAAGAGACAGCGGCTTTGACAGCAAGCAGCTCAGGATAAGGGGATTCATCATGAGCAACCCTTGGGAGCATTGCTACTACAGTCAATTTCTGTCTTCGTCAAGATTACGGGTGTATTCACTTCGAAGATTACTCTTGTTTCTAGCAGAATCTGTAGCGCGGATGAGAAAACATATCAGCCAAATCGATGTGCATCCACGTCAGGTAATGCTTGCAGAGCAGCAGGCGCCTTTGTCACTGGGCCACCCGGAGCCAATTCAGGATGTGGTAGACAGGGATTTGTCTTTCAAGGATCCCACGATGGAAGGGCTGCACTATCCGGACATATCTGGACACTTGCTGTCAGAAAACTCCTCCAGACGTATCTGCCGGGATCTAAGGATTCGGCACAGCTTGCAGAAAAGGCGAAGGCGATAACACGATTGTGCCCAAGCACGTCAAGATTGCCACGACCGATAGAGCAAACTGCCCCTGGGCTTCAACTGCGGTCAGTGACTCTAGCAAGCAGTCCTTGCTGTCGTGATAACCATCACCAGGGTCATAGGAGGTGTTTTGCTTGCTTGCTGCTGCTGCAGCAGCAGCAGCAACAGCACAGAATTCGTAGTAGAAGTAATAGTAGAGGTAATGATGGAAGTAGTAGTCGTCATTTTCTTTTGCTGTTGTTGGTGTGGGATGGTAGTCATGTAGTAGTGGTGGGAGTGGGTGTAGGTAGTAATGGTCATTGTAGGAGGAGGATGGGGCTGCCTGGAACCTATAGCCTATTCATTGGGATTTCGAGCTGCTCGGCGGACAGTGCAGCAGACCACTTCTGACGGCCTCAAGCAATGGGGGAGTGGAGTGGGAGTAGGAGTCGGAGTGGGAGTGGGAATTGCGAGTAGTAGTACCGGCAGCCATGGTGGTGTAATTACGGATGTTCAGCAAATACTTGCTGCAATACCGAGGGAACTGGTAGTTGTACAATCCATGCAATTGGCCTGGTTCATGGGTGCAGAGCTGTGGCGCAGGCAAACAGGGGTGGGATCAAATTTGCATATCTGCACGTGTACGCCAGCAAGTAGGCATCAGATGGGGTTGTGTGAGGATCATGCTGCAAGATGGTTCGCTTCGTGCCGCAAGGTCTCTCTCAGTGCTCCAGCATGGGTAGCAAGTGCCACGCCTGCGAGTATCGTGAATCCGAGAAGCGATGTGAGCTTTGGGAGGAGGGGCCTGATGTGGGTTGGGAGGTTATCAGAGTTCTGGATTCCAAGTCAGGGTCGCTTGTAGAGGGCCTCCGCTGGACCAGGTCTGATAGACACCCATGTTACTGGATGGAGTGTCACTAGGATGGGGTCTTCACACACCACAAGTCCTTGCCGTACTAGCCATCCAAGCATGACATCGATTGTTGTCATCTGCCACTGCTGCGTTTGTGTTTTGTAAGACCTTGGGGTACATCGGTGTACGTCAAGGAAGGTAGGAAGATAATCAA